CTTCGGTCTTTGGTCCAACGTGGATTTAATTTTAGCACCAGGTTAACCATCAGTGATATAACTTCCGGGTTGTATATAGACAGCCCACAGAGACCCAGGTTCACAACAGGAGACGCACAGCTGGGTGCACACCAGACATACACTGTGATCATACAAGGACACACCCGTGTGTTTGTGCTATTCTGGGCAATTCTAGGTAGGCAGACACTTGTCTTGGTGGACACAGGACATACACTGTTGTAATAAAAGGATATACCTGTGTGTTATTCTGGGCAACTCTAGGTAGGTAGACACATGTCTTGGTGGACACAGGACATACACTGTGGTCATAAAAGGATATACCTGTGTGTTTTGTGTGTTATTCTGGGTAACTCTAGGTAGGTAGACACATGTCTGGGTGGACACAGGAAGTGCACTGTGGTCATACAAGGATATACCCATGTGTTTTGTGTGATATTCTGGGTAACTCTAGGTAGGTAGACACCTGACTGGGTGGACACAGGAAGTGCACTGTGGTCATACAAGGATATACCCATGTGTTTTGTGTGATATTCTGGGTAACTCTAGGTAGGTAGACACCTGACTGGGTGGACACAGGAAGTGCACTGTGGTCATACAAGGATATACCCATGTGTTTTGTGTGTTATTCTGGGCAACTCTAGGTAGGTAGACACATAATAATATTACTCGAAACTATTGTGTGTGCTTCTTGCGTTTAGGACTGTGTAGCGTTATCACGAATATTCCATAGTAAAAACTTATTCAGGGATCACAATGAGACCAAACGTATAACGTGTTTGTATCACGTATGTCTGACAATGACAGTGAGACATTGCGTGTGGTGGTTAATTTCCCTGGCAAGATGTGTGTCACGTGCAGTGAAATGCAGTGCATGCATACCGAGTTGAATGCTAGTCACGTGACGTCTCGCGGCAGGATTAATCTACCTTACTAGAACCTGATCAATGTCAATGGTGAACTGTCGTAACTTTCAAGTGCATGCGGTTCAAACACGATATTCAGTAGAAATGGGCATGTATTCTCAATATTGATAAATATTAACATGACAGATATGACCCAACGTGACCATGTGTAAACATAGAGCCCTACTTCTGACACGATGCAAAGATGGAGCTCTATCTCAGCTAATGGTTTTGCTGACCTTATTGTTCTGTTCCGAAATGACACAACCATACACATCTACACACTTGATTCACTGGCTATAGTGCCGTTTTCTCAGTTATATGACGCAAACCGCACTTCAGATATTGATCTAATGCCATTTTGCAAAACACAAATGAAGAGTATCGTATGATACAAAGGGAGGTTACAATACTGACAGGTGTATCAGAAGATTAACCAGTGTTACGTCATAGATCCAACGTGGATCTATTTATGGCAACACGATTAACCAACTGCACTTGCTTCAGTGAGGTGCATAGGATTCACCAACACGTCCAGTTGTCCGCACAGGATCAAGTGAACAAGCAGGCAGATAAACTGTAAAATGATAAAGCTGCTGGACCTGGTGATGTCATAAAGGAGGACATTTCTTCCACCAGTGATGGCACGGGGAGGTACCCAGAAAGTTGGTTATTCGACTATTAAGTCGACTATTAATGCCAGGCAATAAACACAAAGGTGATTCAAAAATGCAGGAAAATGTTACACATATTACACTTTTGAGCCGTTTCCTTGAAATTATATCTATTTTAAGCAATAGCCCACAGATTTTCTGGAATCTGCTACAATTTTATCTGAAGAAAAAGCTGGATCTAGACAATGTTTTTATCATAATTTTTGGAATCCTCAAAACTAAAACAAAGAAATTATAATGTGTCTTCATTAATTTCCAACAAGCCTTTGTCACCGTCTGGCGTTGGGGACTATAATAAATTGATATCAAACAACATAACCGGAAAATGCTTTAATGTTATTCATAACATGTATCAAAATATTACATCGTGTGTATCATGAAATCAAGCAAAGACCAATTTTTACCTTGTTCATCTGGCGTCCGATAAGGTGAAATGTATTACCAATACTATTTAAGATATTTCTGAATGATCTTCAATATGATCTACAAATTGACAAATGTTAAAAATTTACTTCCTGGTGACTTTCACACCCGATTAGAAAGTATGACAAATCTATTTGTTTTGTTATATGCCGATGGTACCATTCTGCTGACTTCAGATCCAAAGGATTTACAACATGTAAGATTGCGTTGACAAATATTGTAAAACATGGTGACTTATTATAAAAGTATTCCGAACAAATATACTTATATTTTGTGGTTCCAAAAAGATCATAAATACCGTTTCAAAAATGGAAATCTAGGGTAGAACATATTCCTTTAAAATTTCTGAAGGGATTCCTCTAATTACGACAAATAACCCCTTCATTCATGGTTTATGATAACCTGGGGACATGTCCACTGGAATTAAACCACGAATGTTACTCTTTTGGGAAAAATAATTTCCGTAAGGTTTCTAAATTTGTTCTACTTATTTACAAATTACTCATTGATGATACGACCTGTAACACAACTCTGCCTATAACGTATTGCCTGTATTAAGAATACTGTTGACAAAATGGACTACAAATGCATGTCCTAATAAAAAATAGTCTTAAAACACTTGCAACAGACTGAAAGAAATTTATCTACATATCTGGATATCAAACTTAGAAAAATCTTCAAGAGGAGCTATTTATAATTCTTTTAAAAATTATGAACAGAAATATGAAACCTATCTGAATTTATTACATTATAATAATGGCACTGCGTTTCACAGTTTCAGAAGCTCAAACCATTACCTTCCAGGACGATGGAGTAAAACCCTCCCAGATGAATGATTATGCTCTCTTTGTAATTCAAACGATATTGGAGATGAGTTTCAATTTCTGTTTATTTCCCTGCATTGGACCTAGAAAATAAACACTTTATCAGCAACTATTACTGTAGAAACCCGAACATCCACAAAATGAACCAGCTTTTTATTCTAATAAACTAGAAATAATTAGGAAATTAGCAACATTTTGCAAAATAATAATGTCTGAAGCAACGCCTTAAAAGGAAACACAATAACGCGTGTGTGTAACACTTCATTTTACTTTTAAAATACTTTTACAGACATGGTTTATTCTGGCAACCAAGCGATATGTATATATTACTATTTTATGAATCATAGATGTGTCGCAGGGTTTTAAAACACGACCACTGGGCTGGTGTTCAATGTCTTTAGTCTGCCATTTGCCATTGTGGTAAACCTGTAATTAGGAAATTACTTAGAGGGCTGCCACTGCCAGCATGGTGTGTCCCTATAAATCAATACGACAAGTAAAACTATTGTGACATTTTACATAATTATTAGATATAAATAATTCTGAAAGTTAATGGTTACTAAACCATTATGAAATATAATTATTTGAATACAGGATTACACCTGACTAATTATGAGAAATTGTTTTTATATGAACAATTCAAACAAACTTGCATACCTGTAATTAGGAAATTACATAGAGGGCTGCCACTGCCAGCATGGTGTGCGCCGGGCACATTGCACATGCAGCTTTTATATCACCTGAGTGCACAGACTGCAGGAGCAACATGTGCCAGAGCCCAGGATGTACCCGCCGGCAGCCAGCTCAACTATGGCAAGCTGTTTGGGACAAAAATTGTGAAATGTGCCAGAGGTGCTGCGCTATACATTGTATGAACAACTGAACCTGTGACACATGTATGTAACATATAACAGTTGTACGTAATAATGATGTAAACCTGTACCTCTAATGCTGCAGAACGCGGCCGGTTGTAGAATTATTTTTCAGTTCAGTTCAAACACAAGCGAGATGTAATATGATGTAAGATGCTGGTATATGAATGTTGTTTAACATCAATGTCATCGGAGAGAATACTTATAAATTATGAAACGAATCCAATCAAATTCAGATTGTTTATTTAAGCATAGACGCGACAAACACCTGATATTAGAATGTGAGAACTTAGGAAGCTTGGAGAATAACCCTTGGCACGTATTGTCGCTTGAAAAACACATGTGGTCAGTGTAGGATATATTTGCTGATCATCCACTTCCCAACCATAATGCTCACTATCACATGTAAGGGTGGTCGCTTCTGACGGCAAACACCAATCCAGTAGAGGTACATCAACATGGGGGAGACACATTAAGCTCAATACTGATACCCCGCCACATATGACTAGCCACTTTCTTAATACTGATACCCCGTCACATAAGTCTAACCACAATCCTAATACTGATACCCCGTCACATAAGTCTAACCACTATCCTAATACTGACTCCCCGTCACATAAGTCTAACCACTATCCTAATACTGACACCCCGTCACATAAGTCTAACCACTATCCTAATACTGACACCCCGTCACATAAGTCTAACCACTATCCTAATACTGACACCCCGTCACATAAGTCTAACCACTATCCTAATACTGACTTCCCGTCACATAAGTCTAACCACTATCCTAATACTGACTACCCGTCACATAAGTCTAACCACTATCCTAATACTGACTACCCGTCACATAAGTCTAACCACTATCCTAATACTGACATCCCATCACACTAGACTAACCACTATCTTAATACTGAGTTTCTTCTCATTACGCCATGCTGTTGAAATGTCCATGTTTGTAATGGTGAAATATGTTTCTGTACAGATTATGTGACATTTCGTTAACTGAGCATATAATTAAGAAGAGCAATATCTAAAGAAGAGGAAACAAATGACTGCCTCATGAAATATTAAATAGATTAGAATTACATATTAGAAGGTATTCTGTTTTCATGGTAACCCTGAGTGAACAGTGTCATGTTGACGTGTGACATTTACAGTCTTGTCAAAGTTGCGTGTAATTATTACCTGTTTAAAATGGCCAACCGCTTATATCTCGATCACACAATACCAAGTGTGTTATGATACCAATATGTATTCTCACATTGTCTATCTTCCTTTCAGGGCATGGAGTCCATCATGAGTCAGGCAGGTGAACCGTTCAGGAATAACGCGGAGGACAGGTGTACTACACAGGTATGAGCATGGGGAACTTGTTACAATACCTGTCGTGTTGGGGAATTTTTCAATAAAACACACTATGATAAATGGATTAAGGTAATCAATGAATATGTTTGTGTTTTGTGTGACAATATATTGCGGGGGGAAAATGAACTGCACATGAAACAAAACAGATATAAAAGAAACTATCTCTTTCAAAGGAGAATCTAAATGACTTGGTTGACAGATAACATCACATCCCTCTTGCTCAGTCCTACACTCAAATAGTTTCATACCACTGTCATGTAAATGTTATGTTGTTACGTGTGCCGTTAAACAACAAACAATAACCATGCACAAATAACAACAAAATCATGTCAGTTATCATATGACACCAGAAGACATTAAAGTCGACAGCTTTCTACATTATAATAAGAATAGAGCATTGGAAATGCCACACATATTTATGTGCCAAAGGTCTGATGGTGGACACATACTTATCCTAAACATCGCTGAAGGTCAGCATTGAAACATGTGATTATATATCATATGCTGACATGAACATCAATATATTCGGTTTATTAGCTTGTCCCGAGATGATTCGTAAAGGTTACTGACAAGAACTACTGCTGCACAAGATCGTCGTGTCGATATTCAAGAATGTGCTGGCTGTGTTTCAGTCCCGTGTGATGTCTACAGGAGAGAAGGCAATGGAGCCATTGGAAGCAAAGACTATGGACCTTGATCAACTCGTGGTGAGTACCGCATACGACAGTGAAGGAATGTGTTGACTGTAACTTGTCTGCAGACACAAATAGCGTGGCGACTGTATTCGTCCGTCAGTAGTTAAGGTGGACAACATTAGCTTCTAAAGAGGCACATGGTGAAGACTGGACAACCGTGTTTGTGTACAGAGAAAGTGTGGGTGAGGTACATGTCACTATTCCCAAACATACATATTAATTATGATACATTTGATATCACGCCTATTGGCATTTTGACTATGATATGTTGAGCAATTAGCCCAGTTCGAAAGGATATCAATTTAAACAGACCTGACAGCTGAAAACGTTGAGAGGGTATATACTATTGATCCATGTGACGGGTCTAACTTTCCGGGTAAGCCGATTTCCTGGTGAGTAGTCTCGGTTTAACGTATACACTAATCATGAAAAAATTCAAGAAACCCGATTCGTTCGCATTACTATAGTTAAACCTACGGTGAATGCAATAAATTAGTAATACTAGTGTCATTGATTGCTTTATGTGTCATGTTGATACCGTTACATTTGTTATTCCTTCTGATCTATCCATGAATTGTATCATATATTTTTTGAGAACACACACGCACACACGCACACACACCTACACACACACGCACGAACATGCACACTTGGTGCAGAAGTACAACACGAGACATGATGCCTCTGATGCTATGCGTTGTGGCATAAATACTACAACATTTTGAGCAATTAGCCATGTGTGTCTCGTTGGGCTATCAGTTAAAACGGATCACACATGGTTTGTGCTTTAGGATCGTCCAGTCCCTCCCTCTCTTTGAGCTATTCGCATGCAGTCTATTCACAGTGGTCAAAGTTCCTTCACCATCCTCAATGTAGTGACTTCAAGTAACGAGCATGGAGTATAGGGGCCTAGTTGATGTCCCGATGACTTTGTCAGGGCCATTCATACTGAAACCACTTCCTGGCTATTTTGGAGCGGGGATGGAACACTGATCTATTCAAATACATCTTGAAAATGGTTAAAGGGCACCCTAACCTATCACATTGCAAAAGTTAAACCAATTTTCAATTTAATATAATATTTTTTACATTGATGGCTTCATGTATTATAGCATCCACTAAGTCAAACTAAGTGAACTATACACATGTTAGTCATGGAGGCGGAAGTGTGTTATGTCTGTTAGTGAGGGTGTTTGTTGAGATATGAGGCGAACTAGTGCAAATCGAGTAAATACCGCCCTACCTCAGGAAACAGGTAACACACATTATACTACTTTCATGAGGTTGCGTCTTTCCTTTATATTGAGAGAATTTCAATTCCAAGCAGATAAATACAATAATATAAATGATCTGTAAAGTTATATTGGGTGCTAAGCTGCATAAAGGGAGTGCTTTGCTCCACTACAGGTCTCAGTTGTCTAAAAGGAACTTCAATGAAGAAAAATAGGTACTCAAAATGTTTGTGCAGGTAAAACACATCTCTATTATTCATTTCGTCGAATATTATAACGTCGAAAGATGTCGAATGTTTGTAAATGCAAAATGTTGTATGCTAAAAAGTACTAATGTGTCAACTTATATTGAGAATCGAAAGATATAGTTCATGCTCAAAGCGCTGACATTATTACCCCTGTCAATGGCATAGTGTCCACGCCATGTTCATTCACAATACTTCTATAAACATTACCTGCATAAAGAAATCCCATGGTACAAGTGCGTCAGTGTGGGGCAAGAAAATCTGTCTGGTTTAACTGCCGGGCGGTCTCATCCATAAAAGTTTAATCCATAATCAATTTTACTTAACTTCAAAAGATCATTGACATGAGTACAGACCCGTGCGCATCTGCCTCTCGTTACTTAGTATAAAACACAAATCAAGTCACGTGTCTACATAGGCAGTAAATTGTGACACACCTAACATTATACCTACATACCAAACCTGAGTGAGTGAGTGAGTTTAGTTTTACACCCCACTCAACAATATTCCAGCGATGTGGCGGCAGTCTGTAAATCATCGAGTCTGGACCAGACAATCATACCCAACCTGAACCCGACATTGCAAATATGAAGCAGACACTAGAAATACATTCCCCAGCTAAAACCTACATACGCATACTGATACCTACATACCTACACTGATACCTACATACCTACATTGATACCTACATACCTACACTGATACCTACATACCTACACTGATACCTACATACCTCATGCCTACATATCCGGCCTGATACCAACATACAGAACCTACATGCTTATCCTAGAAGATACCATCAAATTGAACCTGATCCAGTCATGCACCCACATACCTGACCTGAACATGGTGTCAAAACACAACGTTTCCAGATAGATAATAACTTCAGAAAAAAACGTGTATCTCAATGTTGTGATTGAGTGGGTGGGTGAGTTTACTTTTCCGGAACTTTCAGCAAAATTCAAGCAATGTCAGGAAGGGGGACACCTGTACATACCCAGCCTGACACCTAGATGCTTGACCCGACACCTACATACACAGCCTGATAGCAACATTCTAAAGATAATTCCACAATAGAACGTGTATCGGAACGTTGTACTATGTATATTCACAGCAGAAGTATACCAAATTACAAAACAACATGTGTTTACTTTGCCAAGTCTGGATAAATAGTTCCTCTCACAGATAATGATGAGGACCACAGCATATCAGATATAAGTCATAGTTAATATAACTGCCCCAATATCACTGAACAGTAGAAACATCGAGCATCTCTATGTGTTGTTACATAAAGTAAGGCCTGAACACAAACCCAGGTGATATCATGTTATTGGGTTAACAACAGTCAAATCAAATCAGAAGGTGTCGGTAGACCTACTTTAAATATATGAATGAAAATAACTTTGGTTCCTACTATGTATACATATTCAGGTCCCAGCTTCTCCCAGTAGCCGGGGCATTGGGGTAGCTTACTGGTTAAAGTGTCCGCTTGTCATGCTGAAGACACGAGTTCGATCCCCGTATGTGTGAAGCCCGTTTCTGGTGTCCCTCGCCGTCATATTGCTGGGTAAAGCTAAACACACTCACTCTTCCGGTAACCAGTTAGTTGATTGGTCGGTCAGTGAACCTAGACAAATGGCAAAACAAAGAGCACATTGTTCACATATTCTGAATAATAATGGTAGACATGTCTCTAATATCTGAATCATCATTTTCAACGTATGTGACAGTTGTATTCGCATTCTCAAGTATAGTCAAGACATATAGCATGCAAAGAAAAAGGTTCACGCAAATGAACACGTCTTAGAGTGGAAAACAGGTGCCAAAGAGGAGCAACTCTGTCATCTTTCCTTCCCTAACAGAATCATCAGGAGATGAGTTATTTTGGTAGGCTCCTTAACATCACAAACCAGTACCAATATATGAGTGAGTGAGTGAGTGAGTGAGTGAGTGAGTGCGTGAGTTGAATGAATGAGTGAGTGAGTGAGTTGAGTGGGTGAGTTGAGTGAGTGAGTGGAGTGAGTTGTAGTAGTAAGTGACACTTTACTCGTGTCTATGAAGGAATTAAATGTGTGACACTGACACTGTTCAACCCCACATACTGGAAGTTACTAGTAAACCTCAAGCTCTCTTCTCTCCAGACAGACAGACAGACAGGTTTATTCGGTAATTTAGGCCCAAGGCCCATAAAACATACATTTGACAAAAGTAAATACATACTGAGTAAAGCTAAGTAAAGCTTAGTATTGATTTGTTTTACAGATAATCATACCTTCTACGGCGAGCTTGTGAAAGATATTTACTCAATGATTTGAAAATATGAATATTGTCTGATGACAACAATCGGATGAAGGTTTCAATTGTCGGTGGTTGAGTCAGATATACATGTAATCTAGGCCAGCAGCATGACAAAAGAGGCAGGGACGTTCATTATACGGGTGTTTGTATAACGGTCACATTCCGTTGCGAGTCTGAAGTTATGAGAAACTGAGTTATGATTTTACGTTGATTTGGTAGCAATTCACTGGTTAAATATGGTTCGACGCTTAGAGATGATTTAAATTGTGAATAGTATTTACATTTGGGTCACGAAAATAGTGATGCATGCCAGTTTTGAGTGAAGCAGTCATAGAATCTCTGTTTAAAAATTACCCTGAATGTGGATATACTGCCTATGTCTTGAGATATCCATAAGAAACCAAATCCATATTGGAATAATATCAACTTAATATGAGAAGCCCATGTTGTTTTACCATTGTCATCGAGAGTTTTTCATCATTAGATATGCCTGATAAGGAAGTCTGTTTCGTGGAAGCTGTATCAGTCTGCACCAGTACTTGACTGCTCTTGAGATATATTGATACTGGAGGGGAGCTCTCCCACACTCTCCCAGAACCATGTTGTTGTTGGTAGTTTTACTAACTTTAAGAAATGACTTGCAAAAGCGGGTGTGCACAGTTTCAATAATTTTACAGTAGTAGTAGAGGAAAGGACAGTCCGGGACCAGGTCCAACAAAAAAAAGCCTCTGCAAAGCCTTATTTCACAGATAAGGCTTTGGTCGGACCCTTAGCTCTTGCTACCATTACTCCTACTACTTTCCCAACCTATAACAATTTCAAGCGAATGTGGGCTCCGTCTATGACACTATGCCAAGTTGACTGGAGGTAACATTGTGTCGTACGGTACGATCAATAATTCTTCTCTCACAAAACCCCTCCCTGGCCCATCCCTCAAGTAGTACAAGGTAGGTTCGTCTCCACTTTATCTATGTTGTATAGCTCTACGTGCCACTATGACTATGTCACGTTGACCTCGATGAAACAGTTTAATGTGAATCGCCTATGATCTCTTTGGTGTTCGTAATAAAGGCTTGCCAGGCTTTTTGTATCCCCTGTTCTATGTACTTTATTTTCTCGTCCTTGCTGATAGCAGACTTACGTGACTTGGATCGAATCTCTTGTTTCATTTTGTCATATTTTGTGAGTTCAGAGAGGATTGAACGAAACTCCTCCTCTGAGATCT